TTGAGTATTTCTAAAAATGAGGGATCCAAATGAAAAAAATGTTTAAATGTTTAAGAATAGCAATCATTGAATAATGCCCCACTCCTTCTAAGCAATCATGCATACTATCAACGAAAGGCATTTCGATAATATTCACAGAAGGTATATTGTTAAAGATACATTCCTCTTTAATACCACTTAATTTTGGATTTTGTAAGGCTAAATCATTGTAGTAGCTTTCTGAACTTCTTAGTAGAGTTGAATCTTCAACGCACTGTGTTGCAGTTAAAAATTTTGATGCTTTGCAGAACCGACACATTACATTAGCAGAAAAGCTTTCAACAAATCCGCACATTGAATGAATGCCAAGATTATCTCCTGTTAAAAGGCCAGTTGCAAAATAAACTCTTTTTTTGCCTTCTATTGTATTTAAAAGTACTCCTTCCGATTCTAAGTATATAAGTTCATTAATTAAAGGAGCAAATATTTTCTTGTTACCATATTGTTTCCTATCATTAGCATAAAACAAAAGGGCTACAAAAATATTATCAAGCTTGGATTGACATTCTGGAGGTAAACAAAGTATTGCTGTATATACTGCACCTATCTTTTCGGAATGTGGCCCGAGAGGGTTATTCGGTTCGAAATCATCGTAATAAACAAGAAGCGGGAACACAATATCAGTTTTCTTGTAATATTTAGTGATTACATCCCTCCATCTTGTACATTGTACGAAATTATATATTGTATCTGATTCTGATTGAACTTTTTGCATGTGTATTGTACTGTTAAGAGCATCTGGAAGTTCGAAAAAGTTCTTTAAAACGTGTCGAAGTGAAATGCACTGTCCAGTCACTTGTGTCATTTGTGGTTTTACACCTTCCTTTGTATTTTTTCTTTCTAAGCGAAAATCAATACAATAACTTTCAGGAGGGATGTACGCACTTATAGATTGAAAATACGTCATACGCTTGTGCTCCGTGGATAAATGTTCGAATTGATTGCAAAGAGATTCAAACATTTCTGTAATGCTGTTAATAACTTCGACTTTGGCATGGCAATTTTTAAGCGCATCTATAACTTTTTCTTTCAAAATTGTGAGAAAACTTCCACCGAGAAAACAGGAAAAATCTTTGATTACTGAATCGACTTGGTTACGTGGAAGACCTGATTTTGAATATATTTTAGCAACGAGAATATTAGTATGTTCTTTCACTAAATCATGAAAATCAGAAGGTGATGTGGTGTCAAGCAATTCAGTCTCACTACTCTCACTGACTGTATCTGCATGAATTTCATTTACATAAGAATGATCTGCAAGATCTATCTGTATATGCTGTATTACATTCGTCGAAGCGATTAGGTACAGCATGTTTATTCCGTAAATGCTTTCGAAAAGAATTCCATATATTAAATGAACGATTGCAACCCTCAATAACACAATTAAAATAAGTACAAGCGGGATGCTTTAAAGAGAAATGAGCCTGAATAGCATCAATACTTGTGAAAGATTCATTACAGGTACGTACAAAACATTTTACCAAAACCATAGTGATAAAAATAAAGAA